TTCTATTTTCTGGAATGCAGATGATACTATGGAAAGAGAATGATGATTTGGTCTAATAGTAATGAAAGGATTTCTTGTTTTCTTTGAAAAGGGAGTGGTTTTTCTTTCTTCCTTTTTTAAATGTTTATTTTTATGCAGTTAACATATCTTCAGAAGGAAAATGGCAGCTAGTAGATCATTAACATTACAAAGATCATGCCTGTGAAATTTGAATGAAAGCTATTCTGATTTGCCATTTATCAGGAAAACCCAAAGCATTTTTCTTTGCTATAACATTTTGATGATCTGGTTCCTTTATCCCTTTTTCCTTCTAATCCATCTTCATTAAAAAAAATTACGTGTTATCTTTTCTAGTCCTCTTTTGTTACTTGTATTCTGTTTTTCTTGATAGCTCTTTGCCTCATTGTCCTTAATGACTTCTGTGTTCTTGCAAGCAGTGCTGTAGCAAAAGGGCCAGTAAAACCTTGGGCATGACTGTCAGTACTTCTTCCCTTAATTCCAGGCCTGCATAGTCTGTTCTGAGTTAGAATCAGCCCTGCAGTCTGGAATATAGATTGGCCTGGAACATTTTAAACCAGGCATTCTTGAATGGAAAACAATTGTGGGCTTTTACTACAGATTGTTAAAATAATTATTAAAACATGTTAATATATATTTTTTCCTTTTAGTACATTTTAAGCACAATAATCAGACTTGCCTATCCAGTTATTTGTATGACATGAGTTGCTTCCATGATGCATGGCTAACTTGTTAGTTTAGTTTTCTGTTTGGAGACTTTGAGGATCTTAAGAAATAAGATTGTGAAAGCCTTTGGGCTTGGCCTTTAGAAACATCACTCTCTTTAAGACCAATAGATTTTAGGTTAAGCTGCTACTGAATTAATAAAATCCCAGTGAATGGAGTTCTAGGGATAGATTTATAGCTGGCAGAGTAATATAAAAGGAGACAGACAGGTGAAAAAAGTCAATTTCACTGGTTTATTCAATCCAACTTGTTGCTAATATTAATTACCCTTACTTTAATTACAGGGGATGGCTGGAATCTGTAGCCAGGGGAGGACAAACACTGTTAAGTGTGAGGAAAGGAAGTGCCAAAAATACCTGGACAGTATGATTTGTCGTGAGGCTAGGACACACACTTTAAAATCCGGCATTTACCCTAGAAGGCAAATCTCAAAGATCTTGTGGAAACCCAGAGCTAGTCAATTATATAAAGATAGGCTGGGGTGGAGGAAGGAGGCTATGTACCTGCTGGGTGAAGAGGCCTCGTAACTGAAGAGACTTCCGCTGGATGTAGGAAGTCCAGGGGACTGTTGCTGTGGGGCACTTGCAGACAAGGCCTCTGCAGGGTCTTGCTGGGGGCTCCAGGTTACAAGTGTCCCAGGCAGGGCCCGTTTGCCATCAGGGTGACCTCACCCAGGAGCGCGGCTCGTCCTCAGGCATCTTGGACTGGAGGTCCAATGAAAGGTCAGCAACTTACTATTAAAGTGGTTGTTTCAGATCATATTGATCTCTTTTCTTTTTCCTTTTGTCCTTTCACTGTATGACTTGAATCAGTTTTGATTCTATTTGTAAGTTTTTCTCATCATTAGGAACCTACCATTTCTGTTGCGTTTTCTTTGGCAGTCTGTAGGGATTCAGCATCCTGGTTTTTCAACCCTCCTGCAGGCACTGTGGGGTCACAAGGGCCAGTGGATCCGTTTCACTTCTCTTGCTGCATGATGGTCAGTAGCTGATGTTATGGCATTCACTCCCAGATTAATTTTCCATATTTGAAATGTGTGCATATGTGCTTTACCGAATAAAACATCTGAATTTATTTGCTGTGTCTCTGTTTCCTCCTGTCTGATGGTGTTTTCTAAGGCAAGAACATCTATAATAATAAAAGGGTAATATGCTAATTAGACCGGACATCATTCCAGACATCCTTCCTGACGAAGCCAGGGCCAGAGGGAAGCCGACCCGGGTCCTGGGTGCCTGCAGGTGGCCCGAGGGAAGTCACCTTGGGTCCCGGGTGCCTGCTGGCAGCTCCCGGATGCCGGAGGGAAGCTGGTGCCGGCAGCCAGGGGAAGGAAGGCCTACTCTTGCATGAATTTCGTGTATCAGGCCTCTAGTTTGTGATAATTAATTGAGGGTTTTTGAAGTAGTTCTTTCAAAGTGTCACCTATCATCAAAATGAGGAGTGGGCAGTGTTTACTACTAAGCTGGTCTCATCAAGCACACAGGTCTTCCTGAGAGCACAAAACTACTTTTAGTGTTGGACCAGCTAGTGTTTGCAGACCTGACCCAGGGTGATACAGGCCAGTAGGGAACATGGAATAGGGGTGGGAGTGCAAAGACATCCTTCTCAGTTACATAAACCCTTCGTGTGTGCCTGGCCTGAGTTACCAGAAGCAGACTCCTCGCTGGCTCTGCCTTCTCCTGTTACAGAGCTCCTGCGTGTGCTAGACTTTCTTTGCTAGGACACTGCACCCTCTGCACTTAGTTGTTGATGAGTGAAATAGAATTGTTTGACCATTGCAAGGTTAGATGGCTAGTCAATTATATTAAGTCTAAGGGGAGGAAAGGGATTGAGTTTTTAAAAAAATATATATTTTATTGATTTTTTACAGAGAGGAAGGGAGAGGGATAGAGAGTTAGAAACTGATGAGAGAGACACATCGATCGGCTGCCTCCTGCACACCTCCTAGTGGGGATGTGCCCACAACCAAGGTACATGCCCTTGACCGGAATCGAACCTGGGACCTTTAAGTCCGCAGGCCGACGTTCTATCCACTGAGCCAAACCGGTTAGGGCAGGGATTGAGTTTTGCTTTTGATATTATTTAGTCCCTTTCCTCTTGCTCACTCAGTATATAATCTGTTGGCAGATAGTGACAAGATAAAGATAGAGGATGATGGCTATGATGCTTTTGGGGTGATTGCAAAAGGCATCTTGGAAGAGGTACAATATGAAGGCACATGAAAAAGGAGGGGTTTTGGACTGTGCGTTCCATGCAGAGGACATGGCTTGACCCTGGTGCAGAGAGGCTGAACTCTAGGGCCTTGGCTTAGTGCTAGGTGGAGAATAGGAGTTGTGTAAGAACTTGTTTCCCCACCTGAGGACAAGATGACTCCAGGCTGCTGCCAGAGTGGCCCCTTGGGGTGGCCTGCGGGGGGGCTGTGCAGGGAGATGCTCTAACACCATCTGGTCCAGGAAGGGAGTTCTCTGAACTGAAGCTCAGCATGGCAGGTACAAGCCCTGCTCCAACTCCTGCAGGCCATGTAACTTTGGCTGAGTGGCTGAACCTCTCTGTGCCCCAGTTTCCTCATCTAAGTATAAGGATAATAGAACCCACTTGAATGTGGTGAGGATTCAGCAAGTCAGTTACTACAGAGTGCATAGAAGAGTGGCACTCTGTAATGTTTATTAAAATGGAACATTATAGTGAGGGGAGGTGTCCACGAGTGAGGCTGTTTTTCCCAGAGGATCTTCAGATGTATACCTATTCCAATGCCAAATATGGCTTAAAACCAGTAAACCTCGTTATAGCTTAGCCATGGACAAAAAGGTGTCCCTAAAAAGGGTGTAAAAGGCACAGCTCCCGTAGTCCAGTGCAAGACCTCAGTTTGAAACAGCTCATCTACAGCTCCTTGCTGGGCTTCATGCTCTCACACCTTGCTGCTTAGGGCCAGGGCCACCTGCTATGGGGCAGTTCAAGTTCCCAGAACCAGGGAAGTCTCTCACTATTTCCTAAGGCAAGGCAGAAGAGATCCTTGAAAATGAACCTTGAGAAAAAGGGTTAAATGTCGCTTTAAATTTACCAGAGCTTTAAAAAATGTCTTCTGTGGTGAATCATTTTATTCCATGAAGAGTTATCCACCCCCAATTTATTTGCATTTTATGAGTTGAAGTTTTTATTTACTTAAAACTTGAGTACACTAGTATTCAAGACACAATAATTTAAAATTAGTATTTTTCAGCAGGGAAATGCAATTCAAAACTGCAACGAAATGAATTGTTGGCAAGAATATGGAGAAAAGGGAACCCTTGTGTACTGTTGGGATTGCAAATTAGTGCAGCCACTACGGAAAACTATAAAAAAAAAAAAAAATTGAACTAGTGTACTGTATGACCAACAGTTCCACTTCTGGTATTATCTGAAGAAAACAGACATAATAATCAAAAAGATTTATGCAATCTTATATTCATTGCAGCATTGTTTACAATAGCCAAGATACGGAGGCAACTTAGATGTCATTTGATAGATGAATGGGTAAAGATGATGTGGTACATATATACAATGACATATTACTTGTCCATAAAAAATGAAATCTTGCAATTTGTGACTTGAATGGGCCTAGAGCAGCCGTGGGCAAACTACGGCCCGTGGGCCGGATCCGGCCCGTTTGAAATGAATAAAACTAAAAAAAAAAAAGACCATACCCTTTTATGTAATGATGTTTACTTTGAATTTGTATTAGTTCACACAAACACTCCATCCATGCTTTTGTTCCGGCCCTCCGGTCCAGTTTAAGAACCCATTGTGGCCCTCGAGTCAAAAAGTTTGCCCACCCCTGGTCTAGAGACTATTATGTTAAGTGAAATAAGTCAAACAAAGAGAAATACCATATAATTTCATTTATATATGGAATCTAAAAAACACAACAAAATCAAACAGAAACAAACTCTTAGATACAAAGTGATGGTTGCCATGGAGAGGGTGCAGGGAGGTGACTGGGCAGTTATTTTAAAACTAGAGGCCCGGTGCACAGGTAGGGTCCCTAGGCCTGGCTGGTGATCAGGGCCCATCGGGGCCTTCCTTCATTTTGCACTGCCCCCTGGTGGTCAGCGCACGTCATAGCAAGCAGTCGAACTCTCAGTTGGTCGAACTCCTGAGGGGACAATTTGCATATTAGCCTTTTATTATATAGGATGCGACATTTCTGGGAATTAAGATTAGCAGTGAATTCTACATGTTCCGCGTCATGTTCAAGTCAAGAACTCTTTTTCAGTTGAAAATTTCTGTCCACAAAACACATCTGTATGTTTATTTTGAGTGAAACATAAATTTACATTATAGAATATCTCTTTTGAGAACAAGTAGATTTAAAAAAAAACTTGCACAATGTTCATTTAAGTGTTAATACTAAAATAAATGCAATCTCCGATAATATCAGCTAAGATACAGCAGGTGTTTATCAGAACAGGCGCTGTTCTAAGTACTGCTCATACTGATTATTTAATCCTGCTAACAAAACTTGACCAGATAAGAGGCAGAAGGGAAAAAAAGGGAGTGAGGAAGCTGTCCAGAAACTCAAGCCATAGTTTAGTAACAATAAAGAGTGGCTTTATTGATTTCATAATTTTGACTATATTAACATATATTATAAACTTTAAGAATTAGAAATAAATGACTTTTTTTAACCAGGAATAATCTATGTTATGGCAGCATGTTTAATGAAATTTGTGTTGCACAGTCATATTTTTCAGCTGATTATGAAGCCATTATCCAAGCTGTATATTAGGCCAAGATATAGTTACCCCTATACATGCATTTCATTAAGTAGAAGTAAGCACTGTTTTCTTTTTCAGCAAATACTCCCTTTTGATTATACAGACATATCCTTCCGAAATTACTCTTATTATAATGTACAAAACTTAACTTTTTATTCACAAGAGCTGCTCAAATAACTTTCACCTTGGAAAGCTACAATGGCATGAGACAGCAAAATGCTTCTCTGGACTTCTGTGTCTTTAATTTTTCATTTTCCCCTAAAATCCCAATTTACAAATAAAACTAAATTAACCACAATTATAATTTAGCAGTCTTTTGTTTAACACAAAGGCAGAAAACAAACTAATTTGAGCAAGTATTTGGCAGACCACAGAAAGAAAACAGGACAGTGGGAAATGAAAACGTTTTAGTGTTTCAAAGCAGAAGAGACTGATGAATGTCATTCAAATTTCTCATCTCCTTCTTCCACATCTTTCAGATTGAGCACTTCCAAAGAACCTTTGCCTTTTGTCTCCTTTTGTATTAGGTCATCAATTTCTCTGAAGCAGCCTGGGTCAATTAGACACACCTGAAACATTTAACACAGCTGTTTACCACATGAAGCGCAATACAATACAATCAACACAACTTTAACTTCCTCTAAGACAGTGGTTCTCAACCTTGGCTGCACATTAGAATCACCTGGGAATCTTTTTAAAATCCTGATTTCTGGGCCTCATCCTCCGGAAATTCTGTCTCTCTGTTATGGTATGCGGTCCACGACAGTAGTAACAAAGAAACAGACTTTCTCGAGATGAGGCCCAGAAATCAGGATTTTAAAG